GTGCACACCACAGAGCAGGGGCCCACACAGCACTTCCCAGAGTAATCCAAAGTGGACATGACGAACCCACGTCCTCTCGGTTTGAGAGTGGAAACTGAGGTCATTTTTCTTTGCCACTTGGCCTGTCGGTTACTCCTGGTCAAAAGAGCAAATGTTCTGTTGATTCTGGTCATTAACAGGGAAATAAAGACACTTGAAAGATTCTTTTTCTTAAGATTTATTTATTTATGCTTGCAAGAGCTGGGGTGCAGGCCAGAGGAGCTGGGGGTTGGTAGGAATCATCAGAGACAGAGTGGGGAGCAGAACAGGCAGATCGATGAAGTACACTGCTGAGGGGAGCAGGGAGAGACAGGAGAGGTCTGCTGTGCCCTGTGGGTCAGCTCCCTGGCTGGGGATCGAATTTGTGTTGCAGCAGGTGTGGATGGCTTCATCGTGCTGAGACTTAACCCCTTGCACCACTCTCTTGGACGATTCTTAAGCTTACTTTGAGGAGACAAGGCTTAAGACAAACCGCAGCACCTTAGACGTGAAAAAGGCCAGAAACTGAATTCTCTGACTTCCGTTTGAAAATGAGCTCATTGCAGGAACTCGATGCTCTTGGCCTGCCTGAACCAGTTTGCAAGATGCCTGTTTTCCATCCTCTCCAAAGCTAGCTCAAACCACACAGCTCATCTACTTTTCTCCCTTCCTCACCTCCTCGCCAACACCCTTCGCCTCCCTCATGTGAAATTCTCAGCGTCGAGTCCGACAGCAGATAGACCAGACCTGACAGGCGGGCAGAGCCCCCGCTGCAGTCTGGGCTCTAGAAAGGCTGGGGGTGGGGGGTGCTGGGAAGGGGTGTGGAGAGCGGCTAGCCAGAAGTTACGTGCTGGTGAGAGAGGACAGGCAACAGGAAAAGGCCCCAGGCAGGACACTGGGAAAACAAGTCTGTTCTGTTGGGTAACCAACTGCCCCCTTTTGCCCAGGGTTAAGGGGCTTCCTAAGACATGGACGGTTTTGGAAAACCTAAACAGATGATGGCTCAGGCGTTAGCCTCCATGGAGGAGTAAAGAGTATTAAATTCTCCAGTCAGGGGCCTCTCTGCTGACCTAGGTCTCAGCACTATCTCTGCTAAGGCCTTGAGTTGATCCCGGGCCAGCGGACCCCAGACCTCTCCTATCTCCCCGCTGCTCCCCTCAGCAGTGTATTTCAGTCCGTCTGCCTGTTCTGCTCCCCACTCTCTCTGTGACTCCTCTCACCGTGACTCCCTCCTCTCACCGCCACCTCTGGCCTGCACCCGAATTCTTCTATGCAAAAAACAAAACAAAACGCCACTCATTTGTAAGGTCGTTGAAGTTAATTTCTCTGAGTCAGCACTTGCTGGGAAAATTCATGGGTGTCTCTTCATCTCCACTCATCCCTCTCCCCTACTTCCAGCACAAGTGCAAACATGATTTCCCCAGATTGAGAAAACGTAGCTAGGTGACATCCATTCCATCCATTCGCAGTCAGTTCTGCTCTCGTTTGTTAAATGCCTGTTCTACGGCCAGGCACCGTGCTGAGTGAAACCCCAGTAGGCGGTCAGCGTGCTCCCAAACCCTGGCTGCCACATGGGCATGGAAGTGTGTGGGGAGCCCCTGTTTATCGGGCTCAGCAGAGGACGTTAGGGAAGACTTGTGCTGAATCCCTGACACTGCCGCTTTTCTAGAACTTGCTACTGCACAGCTTGGAGACTCTCCACAAAGCCCCTGCCTAAAGGCAGGGCTCTGCTCAGTCCCCACAACCTCTCCTCAGTCCCCTCAACCTCGCCTCAGTCCCCTCAACCTCTCCTCAGTCCCC